GATTTAATATGTCTACTTGCCCACTCAACATTTCCACTTTGGCATCTTCAGGTTCAGATCAGAACTTCTCGTTTTTCTTCCTAAGTCTACTATTTGCCCAGCCTTACCCCAGTCAGTGAGTGGCATTTTAGTCCCCCAGCTAACTCAGATGAGAAGCCTCGGAGCCATACTGTTCTCCTCATTTCCTCACATACGCACATCTAATGTTCGACCTTGCTCTACACGGAAAGTAGTTTCAGAATCAGGTATTTCTCACTCCCTCCACCAGCACCCCTTTGTCTGAGCCACCACCTCCTCTTCCCAGGAGTTATACTGGCCTCACGTGTTTCCCTGTCGCAACACAGCAGCCTGAGAGATTCTTCTAAAAACTTCAGTCAGGCCACGTCACTTAGCATCCTAACAACAGGGACGCCTGGGTGGCTCAAGCATTTAAGCGTCTGCCTTCGGTTCAGGTCGTGATCCCAGGGTCCTGGGACAGAGTCCCACATGGGGCTCCCTGCTCAGTGGGGAGGCTGCTTCTTGCTCTGCCTGCCCTCTCTGACAAATAAGTAAATAAAATCTTAAAAAAAAAAAGAATCCTAACAGCTTATAAGGCCCAACTTGATCTGAGGGCTCTTACCCAGGCCAGGCAGGAAGTATACCAGGGGATTGGCATTCTCCCAGAGGGCTCTGACCTCACCCACCACTCTCCTTCTGTCGTGTCCTTCCATCCATCAGATTCCGCTACAGAGCTTCCGCACCTAGACATCCTGCCTTGTGCCTGAGATACTCCTCTCCAGACAGCTGTTGGGCCTTGCCCTCACCTTCAGGTCTCTGCTCATGTGACACCCTATTAGAGAACCTTCCCTGACCACCCTGCCTAGAACCCCTGTTCCTCTTTTTCCTTCCCACACTACATATCTTATTGTCTGGAGGTGTTGTTCCCCACCACAGCCCCTGCCACACAGCAGGCACTCAGTAAGGGTCTGGTGAATCAACTGATGACATTGAACAGGGTAGATAGTGTCAGTGTCAGAGTCAGAGTCTGGATTCCTGGGACTTAGGAAGCAAATGAGAGGCATGGAAAAGAATCAGTGCACACACAGCACAGAAGAGCAGGGATTATCAGGAAAGGAAAGAGACTAGAATCCCAACATGAGTGAGCAGCAGATGAGGGCAATTCAGGCATATTTGTAGGTAGACGGTGAAGGCTCAGTAAGGTTCTTCATCACTGTCCTGTGGGCGAGCCCCTCGGCAGCCAAAGTGGAACGTACAGGAAGGGCAGCGGGGGTACCCCTTCCTCCCCAGAGCAGTGTGAGCGTGGGGCTTATGGAGAGAGGAGCAAATGGGCCCCTGCCCTCACGTCACCCCAGCATCTCCATTAGATGATAGCCCTTCCCTTGAGCCCCTCCACCTCGGCCTTTATGTGCTCATTGACACTGTCTTCACCTTACCAGCCCAGTGGGCTGTAACAGATGTGTCTGCTCTATTACAGCGCGGGGGCAGGACGGACGGGGACCTTCTGTGCCCTAAGCACAGTCCTGGAACGGGTGAAAGCGGAGGGGATTTTGGATGTCTTCCAGACCGTCAAGAGCCTGCGGCTACAGAGGCCACACATGGTCCAGACACTGGTACGCTGCCCACACCACCACCACCCATCCACAGCCCTTCTCTTTCAGGGCCATCTCAAGGGGGAGGCTCTTCCAGGGGGCCCATCATTCCCCAAGGTACCCCAGATAGAATGAGCCTTGGTGACAGAGCAGAGGGGCACAGCCCTGTCACCAGTAAGAGTGGCCTCTCTGAAGGCTAGAAGGGGGTGCTGGGGTGCCCCCACGGGGCCTTGCACTTCTCCGTGGGTCCTGGGGTAGGAAGACTCAGGAGTGCATCCTCTTCTCAGGCTCCCGACTGTCTCAGTGACCAGTAACCACTGGGTATGGGGACAAGCATCCAGAAGGGCACCAGAACCTTGGAGAGCTAGACATGCCTGAGGGGAAAGAAAAATACATTTTAAGAGGTTTGGGAGTTGGTGAGGCTTTGAGAGCCAGGGCACCTGCAGCCTGGCAAGCATGGTGAGATGCAGGCCACACAGAGTCATCTCCCCGCCTGCTTGGTCCACCAGCCCAGTGCACTCACATCTGAGTGCTGCAGGCCTAGGGCCACATCTTCCTCTCGGGTCACCTCCATCTGGACAAAATTAGCTGTACTCAGCCCAGAAGGGAAATGCTGTCAGAACTCGGGCAGGCAGGGCAGGACTCAGGTACAAGCCCAGAAACATCCACTTCCCCTCAGGTTTCCATTTTTTTAAAAAAAATAGGCCTGTCAGGAACTGCAGGTACCTTGTTGTCTTCAGTAACGTTGGTTTTTTCCCCTCCCTTTGTTCTGCAGGAACAGTATGAGTTCTGCTACAAGGTGGTGCAGGAATATATTGACGCATTCTCAGATTATGCCAACTTCAAGTAAGAGGTGATGAGATCGGTGGACAGGAAAATTGCCTTTAATATTTTGTAATATTCTGTTTTGTTAATATACCCAAAATTGTGTATATATCTTATAACTGTTTTAGAAATTGGTACATAGGCTTCTATTACCTATTAGGTGGAGATTTTATATGTAAATGTGTTAGCACTGATAGTCCTTTTTCCAATGTTTTATTGGGGAATTAAATAGTGTGATGTTTGGATTGATATCGTGAAATCCTCTGCCTGGAAATTGGGCTGTATTATTCTTTGGTTTAGACATCTTTTCCTAAAGAAGGAACACAAAATTAATTCCAGGTAGCTCAGCATCAACTAAGAAAAAAAAGCACAAAGTTCTCAGAGCTCTTGAGGAAGTTGGTTGTCCTGGTGCCCCCTTTCCCCCACCCCTTTCAGGCTGTTGTTCCCTCCCTGCTCTGTAAATAATCCCTCCCCTCCCCAGCCTCTCCCCATCACCACCACAACCCACTGTGGGGAGTAAAGGGACCAGAGCGGTATCTCTGGCACCACACTAGGGATTATCAGGTAATAAAAGCTTTGACTCCCTGAGGACGCGTCTCCCTTTGTCTGGGGTGGGGCAGCCGGACCAAGGCTGAGGCTCTCCTAGGCCACGCCTGGCCCTGCTGTTAGTGTTCTGTCTCAACTGGTCTCAGGAGCCACTGTCCTCTCAACTCCTTTCCAGCTGGCACAGCCTCTCCAGCTCTCAGCTAGTTGGCAGGACCCACCCTCCATTCCCAGCACATCTTTGGTACATTGATCCCAGCCAGCCTTGCTCCCTGGAACATGGTCAGCGTCCTCACTGCCCCCCTAGCGCAGGGGCATGGAAGAGAGAGGAGGTAGCTGGCTAAGGCCAGTCCGACTTCCCTGGTGCTTTGCTATAAAACTGTCTGGACTGTGTCCTCTGTCCAGGATAAGTCTTTATATCCACACTTACTAGATTAAATAGCTTTTGTTTCCTTTTATATCTGTCTACGTTTCCAGGACTTTTATGTGGAAGTGCCTCAGATCCAGAGGCCAGGATGGTAGGCGTCTTCAATCCCAACTTGATATCAAGCCTAACATTATACAAAAGTATCTAGCGTTTGTGTCTTAAATAACATGGATGTTCATTTATTTCTCATGTAATGGGGTGCCCAGTCCAGAGACCCAGTGTTCTCCTGTCTTTTGGCCCCAGTATCCCTTAGAATGTTATTCTTGTCCTCATGGCTGAAGCTGGATCACTGTCTTTTCCCATGGAGAAGCGAAAAGAAAATGGAGAGAAAGCAACTTCATTTTTAAGGACATGAAGCAAAAGCTCTTCTTTACATTTTCCCCCCTGTTGGCTCAAACCTAGTCATAAGGCTACACTGTGTGACTACAGGAATGCTGGGAAATGTCATCTTTAGTTGGCACAGCCGCCAGTGCGGGGTTGAGAGAGTCTTAAGGCCCATGGGGCCTTTCTCAAGGAGCAGGGGCAGGCCCTGGGCGACTTAGGCCGTCAGGAGTCGAGAAGTGGCACCCCAGCCTGGACCGTGGAGGCACACTCAGAGGTCACTGCTGCTCTGCTTGTTGGCGGAGTTGGGACTTGAACTGGACCCAAGGGATGCTGGAAATTTGAATGAATGAAAGGAGGCAAGGTCACATGGAGCCACATTACAGAAGGCCTCGGGACCCTACAGAAGGTGAACAGATGCAGTGGCTCCAAGATGGGAGCCAAGTTCACCACCACATAGGATACCTACGGGAGGCAGGGCCACTGTGACAGACCACCTCTGCAAGTTTCTGAGAAGTGAGTGTGCATCAGAAGTACTTGGTCCTTCTGTAAGAACTAAGGAACTCCAAGCGGCGATAAACTCAAAACTCGGTGGTTTTCAAAGAAGCATGAGTAAATTAAGCGATCTGAGAAGGATTTCTGATGAGAGGTACCATGTTTGGGAAGGAGACCCTGGCTCTTTGCAAACTACCTTTTGGTGCCTCTATGACCAAGTCCTGACAGATGGAGGAGGGCAGGCCTTGGGTCAGCAAGCTACATGGCAGACTGATAGGAGAGCCCATCATGTGCCCTGCGCTGCCTCCCTACGTCCCAGCAGGCTGCCTACCTCCTGTTGCTCGGGCTGGTGTTGAGCAGCTTACACACCAGTGTGTACCAGGGTTCCTACAGAAGGCCTGAGTACCTCTACCTACCCACCAGTGTGGCCTGGCCACTTGCTGCTGAAGTCCATGCTGATTTGCTTGGTGGCTTGGCCAATTTTTTTTTTTTTTAAGATTTTATTTATTATTTGAGAGAGAGCATGAGCGGGGTGGAGCAGCAGAGGGAGTCTGCCGTGGGGCTCGATCCCAGAACCCTGAGATCATGACCTGAGCTGAAGGCAGAAGCTTAACCAACCAAGCCACCAGGCGCCCCTTGGCCAATATATATATATATATTTTTAAGACTTTATTTTTTTTTAAGAGAGTGAAAGAGCACAAACAGGGTGAGCAACAGAGGGAGAATGGAGAAGCAGGCTGCCTGCCGAGCAGGGATCCCAATGCGGGACTCAATCCCAGGATGCTGGGATCATGACCTGAGCCGAAGACAGATGCTTAACTGACTGAGCCACCCAGGTGCCCCTGGGTCAATATTTTAAATATCATCTGGCTGCTGAACAGATGTCTTCAAGCAGGACTTGTATGGTTGCAAGAGACATAAACCCAACAGGAACTAGTCAAGGCTAACGGGAAGTGGATCAGGGCTCACACCGAACAATCATGTGGGAACAGCTGGGGTGACTGCTTCATCCAGTGCCGGCCCCTCAGCTAGTTGGCTGTGCCCCACAGAGTTGGAGCTAGAGCCGGTGAGGATGTCTCAGAAGAGGGAGCGAGGCATCCAGTGCCCACTGTGCTCAGACCTCACTTAAGTCAGCGCACTCCTGGTTCAGTTTCCTTCGCACTCCACCACCATCACCACCAAATGCACAAGTCTTTGATTTTAATTAAAAAAAAAAGGCACTTTGCCCCCAGGCTGATAGTCTCCTGACTCACTCTCCCCTCTTCCACCCTTCATCCCCACAGATTCCTTTCTTACCGCTCATCACGGACCCACTCTGTGTCCACTAGTCACTCCCTTTATCCTCACTCTGTAGCCTCTGCTGCTCCTCTTTCTCCTTCCCCAGAGACCGGGCATTCCTGTGGTCGGTATGTGGCAGACCCTCAGCCCTTCTCCAACCCTGAGCTCCCGTCCTGGGCTCTGGGGCGGCATATCCTGCTGCCAGCCAAGTGACTATATGGGGTGACCCACGCGCACCTGCCTCACACTCCCACCGCCTAGAGGTTCACCCAGTCTCTGCAGAGTCTCCCGTCCCTTCCTACGGCCTTCCAGCATTCTCTGCACCTCTCTCCACTGGCAGTTCCTGTGTTGACTCTTCTCCATTTTTGTTCCTTACGTGGGAGCACCAAGCCACCCTGTGTGCAGATTCTGGCTAACTCACTGTCATCCTTCACCCAGACCCTCTGATCCGGGGTTTGTGCCCCTCTGTGCTCCAGCAGCACCTGAGCACTCAGCTCTAAGCCTCTGCTTTCCCAGCTGACTACAAGCAGCTCCCAGACGAATAAAGTCCTATCCTCAGGGCCGACCATTAGTTGGAGCTCAGTGGTGAACAAATGGCTTTCTGTGCCCTGCTGAGAGGGATAGGAGGATGAATTTCTGAGTCTGTAATCTGGAAGGGGACAGCAAACGTTCTTGAAAAGCTACGGATGTTGCCAGAAAGGAACCAGAGCATCCCCTGGGAAGCTTAGTTCTGGTTTGGATTTTTTTAAGGAAAACCACAAACAAATTACAGAAAAAATAAGGGCACCCCATTCCTCTTTTAAAATAAACACAGGGGACTTGAATAAAACATTCTGTAAACCCAAACCAGAACTAAGCTAGTTTATTGAACTCAGTCATTTTCACTAAACCACAAAACAAATGTTTCCCTAAAAATTACTTGGTTAACCAACACATATAAGAACAAAGTGTATTTCCCAAAACAATTTAACTGAATATACAGTCCACACATGGCTTTGGGTCCCTGCTAAAGATAAGTCATTTTGGAAGTTCATGTGTGCCTTCCTGGCTGGGCAGCTGAAGTCCAGGCGCCCTGTAGATGACTGCGGTGCCCGTTACGCCATCCCCTCCCCCATCTTTACCGCAGGATTTGACGCACCTGCTCTCCTAACGACTGGCCACCCCACGCCAAGCCTGACCCTGGCCCTTGCATTTGCTGTTCAGCCCAAATGTGGAGATTGGCTATTAACCCTGTAAACAGGCCTCTGCCCTCCCCCTGACCCCCAGGCTAATAGCTGGCGGGAGAAAGCTGAGCTGACGCAGATTGAGAGGTGGGGGCACGTTTTGAGTGTCCTAGATTAGCTGTGCCCAACTGCATGAATAGTCCTGGGTTGAGCACAGGGGAAGGCTTGGAACCTTGAGAGGCAAAACTATTCCTACACCCTGCTCTTTCATAGGCCCACAGATGCTGCACTGCCCTCTTAGCTGGGCCCCGGCTCATGGGCCTCCTGGGAGGAGAGAAAAACCACCTGGGGGTAGGTGTGCCCCACCCAAACCTACCTCCGTCTGGAGTGACCCAGCCCTGGTGCCCAGGTGTGTGGATGAGGACCACTCCATCAACCCGGTTTACAGTGCGGCAAACAAGCCCTCAGGCCCTCATAGTTTCCCCCAGACCTCTTCACAGGTTGCTGGGCTCCCCACTCAGGCTGCCAACTGTGTGGGACTCAGGGTCCCCAGGCATTGCCACCTCCAGGCCACAGTTTACTTTTTGGGTCAGAGAAGACTGAGCGCTTTGTAGGCCAAAGGGCAGGAGCTTGAGGATGCCTCCTGGGAAGTGGGAAGATGATTCTTGAGGGCCTGGCCAGGCTGGAGCAGGAGTCTTACCACTTCAGATCCCTGGGAAGATGGAGAGGGAGCAATCTGTCTGGTGACCTAGGGCCACTGGCTAAAAATACACTAGGAACACACACTGGTAAGGGAAGGGTGTTGGGTGGCAGGCTGCCCCCTTCCCTCTCTGAGACGTCACGGGAGTGCGTGGACCAGGAACGGGGTGGAGTCAGCTGATCAATAAATCCCAGAGCTGGCTGTCTGGGGGTCCTACTGTCGCCTGGAGGAGCCACCTTAAGGAGCCACCTCATCCACAGCTTTCCCTTGGTGAGTGAAAAGGCTGCTCTCCCCAAGGGCTGGGGCTTCTGGATGGAAGTCTGTCCTGGGTGTGTGGCACACTGTTCCTTTTCTCCCCCCCAAGTCCCTGTCCTTCTACCCATGAACCATGTCCCAGGGGAAAAAAAAACCACCTTTCCCTTTCTCTCCCCAATGCTGTTCCTCTGCCTGCTGCCTCTAGTGTAGGAGGGACAAGGGGTAGAAGCACTTGCCCCTGTCACCACCACACATCCATTCCATATCCCCACCTGCCATGGAAGAGATGGCAAGCCACAGAGAACAGAGGCAGCGTGCCATGCACCAGGTGCCCCAAATGCCCTTACATTGCTGCTACTCTTGGAGAGCTCCCCTTACCCAAGTCTCTGTTCCTCTTCCCAACCTTCTCCCACTTCTGGAATCCCTGAAGGAAGGAGGGATAGGCCTGATGGACTGAGGACAGTCCTCAGCTGGCAAGGCTGGGATCCTCTGCACCCCAGGGGGCTCTGGGGAAGGCTAGCTGCCAGGAGCCTTTGGGGTGCAGATCCCTACAGTCCTGGGATGAGGAGCAGTGGCAGAAGAGGGAAGGACATTAGGAAACACTAAAGCTGCCCCTGAATTGCCAGTTGTCCGAGGGGGCCCTGAAAGAAAAGGAAGGAGGTATGGATGGAAGTGTCTCGTCTTGAGTGCTATCCACTCTCCATGGGAGCAGCCCTGCCATGGCCCATTGCAGGCTAGGCTTTCTGCTGCTACTGACCGTCCACCCTGGATCCTCGAAGGCTCAGCACTGGTCCCATGGCTGGTACCCTGGAGGAAAACAAGCTTCCAGCTCAGCCCAGCACCCCCAGCATGCCCCAAGGCTCCTAGGTGGGTTAAGGGTCTCCCCAGTCTAAGTGGGAGGAAGAAGGCGCTGGCTGGGGCTCCTTCACCTCCTGTGATCCTGGGGTGGGAGTAGTGGGCAGGCCGCAGCCTCAGCTCCTCCCTGAGGAAGGGCCCTGGGCACCGCAGCAAGCAGCCCAGACCAGACTACCCTTGACTTCCCAAGCGATCCCCTGGCTCCCCCCAAGAACAGTGTGGGAGGGCAGAACCACAGGCTGGTGGCCTCCGCTGGAAGCAGCACCTGGTGCAGATACTGCTGGTAAGTACAGGGAGAGGCCCGGCCTTGGCCAGGAGGGGCCATTGGGGCTAAGGACTTGGCAGCTGTGGGGACAGAAGAGAGGGGTAATGAGACAACAGAGACACCCCCTGCCAAGGCAGGCCCAGGCACATACACGATGCTATCTGCTATCCTTCCTATTTCCCAGAATTCTAGACAATTTATAAGATACTTAGGTGAAAGTAAAAGAAGTCACTAGTGGAGTGGAGATAATTGTACTGAAAACCTCCATAAATAAGACTGACTGTAGTGGGGTCCTCCAGGCTTCTTTCTTGTCAAGAGAAGCCAGTGTGTCTGTAGGTGGGCAGGCCCTCAGTCTGTGGAAAGAGGTGAGGGGTACACCAAGAACCAGGTGGTCACTGACACGCACTAGGAATGACAGTGATTGCGGAAGATTGGTGTGCAGAGATGGATTGTTGATATTTTGCAAATTTAAAGTGCACCGGAGAGCGGTAACTGAAGAAGTTGTAAATTCCTATAAGGCAAAAACTTACCACCTAATTAAGTCGGTGTGAGTTCAGGTTTTACAAACCAGGTGTGTTAAGGGTCGAGCTCGCCCAGGGAGCTACAGAGCCCCCAGCTGGGTCTTCTAGCTGGCAGGGGGCGTCCGCCTGGCGACAGCATCCTCCACAAAACCAGGTCAAGAGGGGTGGGGGTGGACAAGGTCGCAGCCGGGCGGTCAGGTGACAAGGGCGTCTGCTGGAATGACCAACCCCTACCCCCCGCAGACCGGACGTAGAGCGCCGCGCCCTGTCGCCCTCCAATAAAGATGTGAAGTCCCTGACGCTGCTGCCTCGAGGTCTCTCCTCTGTCCCCTTCTTCGCCCACCCTCACTAAGACCCTACCCCGCGTGGGGGCTGGAGGGACATAGGCCCGGCCCGCAGGCGGGAGGGACACGGGGCGGGGCGGGAGGGACACGGGGCGGGGCCGATCCCGCTGGGAGGGGGCAGCCAGAGCCAGTGGGCCTGGGGCGGGCGCAGAAGTGTGCAGGCGCGCGACCCACGAGCGGACTCCAGGGGGTGGGAAGCGGGGCCCGCGGACTACGCGTCCCGTGGTGCCCCGCGGCCGCTTCCGGGTCCCGTGATGCCCTGCGGCGCGCCGGACGCCGGGCAGCCTGGGTCATGCTGCACGCGCTGAGAGCCCTGGGCCGGGGTTCCCTATGCGGGCCCCCGGCCCAGTTGCTGCTGCCCGTGCGCGGCCGCAAGACCCGCCACGACCCTCCGGCCAAGTCCAAGGTTGGGCGCGTGGCGACCCCGCCCGCGGTGGATCCTGTAGAATTCTTCTTGCTGACGGAGCGTTACCGGCAGTACCGCCAGACAGTGCGCGCCCTCAGGTGTGTGTGACCAGGGGGAGGTGGCCGTCGGCGCCGTGGGCGGTGTATCGGAGCAGCCGGGCGTAGAGGGTGCCGACTTTGGGCGCGTCTCCGCCCAGGCTGGAGTTCGTGTCCGAGGTGCGGAAGAAGGTGCACGAGGCCCGGGCCGGGGTCCTGGCAGAGCGCAAGGCAGTGCAGGATGCCACCGAGCACCGCGACCTGATGGCCTGGAACCAGGGGGAGAACCAGCGGCTGCACGAGCTGCGGTGAGTGGGCCGGGAGGCGGGGCGGGCCGCTGGCTGGCGCGGGGGAGACCCAGCCGCGCTCAGGGTCAGCCTCTTGCCCCACCCCGCCCCACCCCACCCCAGGTTAGCCAGGCTGCGGCAGGAGGCGCGGGAGCTGGAGCAGCGGCAGGCGGAGGAGAAAGCCCAGCGGGCCCGAGAGGCGGAGGCCTGGGCGCAGCTCAAGGAGCAGGAAGTGCTGCAGCTGCAGGTGAGCCGCGCCTCCGCGGGCGGGGGCTGGAGGCCGGGAACTCGGCCTGGGCGCGGCGCAGTGGGGCACCCGCTACGTGCACTGAGAGAGCGAGCAGCCTTGAGTCTTGAGAGTTAGCTGGTGAGGATTTGGGAGAGGAGTGCAAGGAGACTGGCTGGCAGGTGTAGAGACCCAGAGGTGAGAGTTGTTAGAAAAAGTATTCCAGGGGCGCCTGGGTGGCTCAGTCGTTGAGCGTCTGCCTTCGGCTCGGGTCATGATCTCAGGGTCCTGGGATCGAGCCCCGCATCGGGCTCCCTGCTCAGCGGGAGGCCTACTTCTCCCTCTCCCACTCCACCTGCTTGTGTTCCCTCTCTCGCTGGGTCTCTCTCTGTCAAATAAATAAATAAAATCTTTAAAAAAAAAAAAAGTATTCCAGTAGTAGGTGGTGGTAAACCCACATCTGTGGGAGGGACTCCCGTTTCCACAGGGAGTTTGGATTTTGCTTTGCGGGTGATAAAGTCATTGAAGTGTTAATATTCTGGGCTAGGATGGCAGATGTGAGACAGTAAAAGCAGGGAGACCAGTTAGGAGTGATCCCGCAAGAATGGATGAGGTCTGAATTAAAGTAATAGAGGGAGGGGCGCCTGGGTGGCTCAGTCGGGTGTGAGCGTCTGCCTTCGGTTCGGGTTATGATCCCAGGGTCCTGGAATCGAGCCCCACATGGGGCTCCCTGCTCCGCGGGAAGCCTGCTTCTCCCTCTCCCGCTCCCCCTGCTTTGTTCCCTCTCTCACTGTGTCTCTCTCTGTCAAATAAATGAATAAAATCTTTAAAAAAATAAAAAATAAAGTAATGGAGAAGGACAAGTTTGAGAGAGATTAAGAGGGACATTGAGGCAACATTGAGGAACTGATTCCACCCAGTGGGACATGAGATTGTCACAGCTGGTGTGCTTGGATTTCTGGCTGAGATGTCCAGTGGATAATTATCTCAGAAAGAGGAATATGGTAAGGCTGCCTGATGTTCTTCCACGGGAAGGTCATTGGGGCACTCACAGAGGACCTGGGCTCCAGGCATCCGTCCAGGGGGAGAGCTGTAGCCTCTCAGTGGGCTAAAGGCCAGCAGGTATGTGCTTCCATTCATCTGGCCTTCTGTCTCCCAATAGGAGGAAGCAAAAAATTTCATCACCCGAGAGAACCTGGAGGCACGGGTGGAAGAAGCCTTGGACTCGCCAAAGAGCTACAACTGGGCTGTCACCAGAGAGGGGCTGGTGGTCAAGCCACAGCACAAGGGCTCTTAAGGGCCCAGTAAGGACAGTGCCCACCCAGGGACCGTGTGTGTATGGGGGTAGGAGGGTTGGGCCTGATCTGCAATAAATCTGTTGATGTTTCTTATGAAGAAGGAGACTCAACCTGTTCCAGTGTAGCCCTCACATTCTGGCCTCTGCACCCACCACTTGGTCAGAAATTCCCATACACAGTGACCTCTTCTGCACCCATGTACAACTCAGCAAAGCACCAGACCTCAGAGGTTCCCATCTCACAGAGGAGCAGAATGGACCATCGTCACCTCAGGCAACTGGCTCATCTACTAAGTGTCATCGAGGACAAGGACAGTGGTTGGCAAATTACAGTCCTTGGGCCCAGTCTGGCCCGCTGCCTATTTTTGTAAATAAATTTTATTGGAACACAGCTACACCCATTCATTGACTACTTTCACACTATGATGGCAGAAACCAGTAGCTGCAATAGAAGTTTGCCAACTCCTGATCTAGACCTTTAGGACTCCAGCCAGAGTAACCAGATACCACCCAGTACCTGAGATACATGCTAACCGCTGGCCTGCTTCTGCGTGACCCTGAGATTTGCCCTCTAGGGTTTGGTGTGCCCAAGACACAGAAGGCAAGGAGGAGACCCCATTTCTTTCGGTGGCCCTTTCCACCCATGACTTCAGTGACCCACATGTGCCCTGGCACTGCCTGCTTCCTTGGACCACACACCAGATTGGTACTGGCAGGGAGGCCTGGTTGACCTTTACAAGGTCAGTGTGGTTTATCCAGCACTTGAACCAAACCCTACAGTGCCAGAAATACTTGTAATTGAAGTTCACGAGGTTCACCAAGTGAACACAGAGATGTATGGCCCCTCTTCAAGCACAGGTCCTCGTGTTTCTCAGAGCCAGAGCCGCTGCCCCTTTGTCACCCTTCACCTGAACTTGCCCAGATACCACCAGGGGAAAGCAAATAGAATCCTAGTTTCTTTCCCCAACTCCCATGTAGTAGAAACGGTCTGGAAACCCCCAAAATATGAAAGCCTTTTAGGGAATATGGGCCATCCCTCAACATCCAGGTGAGGAAGTAGGTACAGAAGTACAGGCAGAGAGCCAGTGGTTCTCACAGTGCCTTGCACCCAGCCTCCATCAGGCCCTGCCCCCCTGAGGACAATGGCCTCCCTCCACAGGCTGATAGTAGGTCATCTTTTCCCAGGCACTGGGCCCAGGTGCAGGACAATGCAGTCCTTGGTTTCAGGTGCTCAGTGTAACGTCTGAGGTGAGAGCTGATGGGTGCACGTTATGGGCCATGGATTGAGGCAACTGTGCCCATAGCCTTGGGCTTTGTTGTGAGAAGGGGACCACCTGGTACTCTGCAGTGGAAGTGTTTGGTGAGCTTGGGAAGTCCAGTTGCATTCTTGCTAAAGGCCCTGCCCTTCTGCACCAGGATTCTGACACAAGCTATTTGTCCTCGGAAGACTGTGTCCTACTTTCTTGAAGCTCTGTCTTTGGGCTACGTTTCCTTCACAGCCGAAGGAAATGGAAGGAATCCTTCAATGCCCTGCATGGGGCTGTAAGTCCTTAGCATCCACTGCTGATGCCAGTATGTCATGTAGAGACACCCATAAACCAGGCCTCTGTTTTTATCCTTTACGTACAGCCCTCTTACTGGTATAGACACAGGCAGCTTACCGGTACCTTCAGGGTTAAATCAAGACCAGTCCCATCTGTACCTGCATCTAATGGATCATAGAGTGCTGTTAGGTGCACATGTAAGCTATCAGATCCCACATGGTCCAGGTTGCAGAGTTTGGTGTCCCATGGAAGAATGCCTAATCTCTAATAGAACCCTAATCGTTAACCTGATGACCTCAAAAACCCCAGGGCCTCTTCTGATCTTTACCTCAAGTTCCAAATATGTTTTGGGTCTGCTATACACAGTGTGAGCCTGGACCTCTTAGAGAATCTTCTCTTGCTCAAGGCCCCACTTGAGCATAGTAGATTTGAGGGCTACCCAATAAATGCATCTGGTAGGCAATACCCAAACGTAAGTGCTTTCACCAAGACTTGAAGAGGCCTACCTACCATGGTTTGTGCACTGTGTTGGGTAGATTGAGGGACAAGTGCAATTTGTGTTTCACCTAGGGGGAGAAGTATGCTGACCCCCCAGGAATTTTGCCGGGGAGGCAATTTTTCCTCAGGATTTATCTCCCCAGTCAAGCATAGGTGTTTTACACCTGGATTCCTGCCCCTTCAAATTCTCCAAGATAAGCAACATGATATCAATGAAGTAGACCACCATGATGTCCTGGGGTGGGTGGTCAAGGTCTTGAGGATTAGGTTGTGCAAAACTATAGAGTGGTTGGGGCGCCTGGCTGGCTCAGTTGGTGGAGTGTGTGACTCTTGATCTCGGGGCTGTAAGTTCAAGCCCTACAATAGAGGTTACTTAAAAATAAAATCCTTAGGGCGCCTGGGTGGTTCAGTTGGTTAAGCGACTGCCTTCGGCTCAGGTCGTTATCCTGGAGTCACAGGATCAAGTCCCGCCTCGGGCTCCTTGCTCAGCAGGGAGTCTACTTCTCCCCCCCACCCTCCCCCCTCTCATGCTCTCTCTCTCTCAAATAAATAAAATCTTTCAAAAATAAAATAAAATCTTTAAAAACAAAAAACTGCAAGGGTGCCTGGATGGCTCAGTCAGTTAAGCGTCTGCCTTCCGCTTGGGTCATGATCCCGGGGTCCTGAGATCGAGCCCCACGTCGGGCTCCCTGCTTGGCCCTCTCCCTCTGTCTGCAGCTCCCCCTGCTTGTGCTCATGTTCTCTCTCTCT